GAGTCCCCGCGGCACCCCCGGCGCGGCCAATGGGGCCTCGAGTTCCCGCCGCGTGCTCCGGTTGGCGGCCAAGGGCACGCGACACTGCAGGACGAGGCCTTATTCCCTCCGTGTCCCCACATAGCCTGCTTCGGGCAGAGGAGCGCTGCCCACCAGGGAGTTCTAAGTCCTGCAAAGAAAGAAGCCAGTGACCCACCACCGAACACGAGGGGTGGGACACTTGGGTCTAAAGGGCGGGGGGCGTTCAGAATGCAGAAAGATGGGTTAGCCGATGTAAAGAGAGCAAAGGGCCAAACTTTACTAACAGCTGAATTGCTGTTCTCTCTAAATCATAATGAGGAGGAAGAGGAGGAACAATATCTTGAATCAATGAATTCATTTTAGATAGTAGCATTTTGTATCTTTAAAAGTATACTCATTCGGCCCAATGTTTTGCTCAAGACAGTCGATTCAAGGTATAACTACTCAAGTGTCTGGCAAAAGGGAATCACAAGAATAGAACTTCCTCAATCAATCAATAGTGTGCTTCCTCAATCGCCACTGGTGACATTTCAGACACAAAAGAAATCTCACTTGAGACGGGATAGAATTCTATATAATCCATAAGAATAAATCCCTACCCAGTCAATAAATACAAACATAACAAGAGCTGTGCTGATAAAGAGTAGTCCATTTTAAAAACAGAAATTGTCAGAAGATGTAAGTTTTTCTTATGGATAGAAGAACGATGGAGCATTACATTTTCATAGAAAGTAAAATAAAAGACCCAACAAAGCAGCACTAATATAGAGATTTTATTTAAACTGTATTGAGTTTTTACAGCACATTGCATGTTTGTCACAACGCAACTGCACAGTTTGGATTTTTGGCCACATCATGTCACTTACACCCACAACAGCTCTGAAAGGAGTATTTGATGAATGTATCTGAGCCAAGAGCCCAGACTCTCTCTTCAAGGCCATGCAGTTTATTCATTGATGGGAGAGTCCCTCAAAACAGCCACACAAAGTAGACAGATACAGTCTCCCCATGTTCCTAATCTTACAAGCCCCAAAAACAGGCAGAGTGAAGTGCAATGTAAATCAAGTTAATTAAAAAGCCACTCACAACTGGCAGTTAAATTTTAATAATGAGAAAATGCTTCAAAGAATTTTACGTATCAGAGACAAGGAATAGTTTGTTATTTCTTCAATGATCTCTCAGGAATTTCCCAGACACAAAATCTCCATTATTCAGTTTCACTTTTTAAAAAAGTTCTACTAGGCTGACCTAAATATGCCAAAACTTTTTAGGTTACATCCATGGCAAGTATAAAAGAAGCACAGATGCTTCTCTGTAGGACTGAAGAAAAGGTCAGGATAAATAACAATTCTTGTTCTAAAGGCAGATTTTAGTTATTTTTGGAATGATTTTTTTTTTCTAGAAAGCAATATGAAAGTAGAAGTGAGAAAGACAACTACCACAGCTTTAAAACAGGATATTCCTAAATGTAGTTTATTTTTTATACACCAATGATTAAGCAAAATATATAAAATTCTAGTGGTTTCATTATAGGCCAAGGAGACTGTATCTGTCCCAACCACAGTACATGGCTATATCACTGTATCTTTTGGTTAAGTGCCACTGGTACATATTAAGATGAAAAACAAAATCAAACCAAAAAATATGTTTGGTCCAAATGGACACGTTTTATCTCCCAATTTTGGTATCAAGGCTTTTCTCTTCTGTTTGGGTTCCATTGTTAAGTGCACAGAAATAGACAGCAGCATTTGTACTGAAACCCTCACATACCAAACAGTATATCCCAGGAGGTAAAAACCAAACACTAAATTCTACCCTCAAGGTGTCAAGTGTTCAGGATAAGAAGCAGTGTGACCCAGAGGAGGCAGCAGCCAAGGGAAAGACAACATGGGGGAAGGGGGCAATGAAACAACAAAAACCTCTGTTTTATTTTCATGCCAGGAGAGGATCAAGGTGTAGCTCCTGTGTTAGCACCAGGACAACTAGGAAAAGTCAGGCGCAAAGGGTAGGGCACAATCAGCAGATATTTCACAAGGATAATTTTTGCTTTTCACTTCTCATTCTTCACAGTGCATACCTCAAGAGCTGCCTTCACAGCTCAAAAGAACTGATTTTTGCCAGGACTAAAACATCAGCAGAGTTTTCCTCTGCTCCCAAAATTGTCTCACTCCCTAGAACTGTCCCCCTAAACTGAATATTCACTGATGCTGGCCAATGAGCCAAGTGAAAAATACATTGAAATCTTCACTTGCCAAACCAGTCCTTAAGCCAAACTCCACAGAAAGACAGTACTAATGCAACTAGGAGGGAGTGCCTCGAAAGACTGAGCCTTCATGCAGACACAGAGCACAGAGGTACAGAATAGAGTTCATCTCAAATAGGATAGGAATTCCTATCTTGTATACTAGAATCTGCTTTTTTCAAGGTGGAGAGATAGGTCTGGTTATCACTTGGAGTTTGGTTATACATATGCCTTTCTATTGCTGTTTGGGCACTTTGCACCAGGCAGTATCTATGAAGTCATCATCTTGTGACCCTCCATGAGAAAGAAGTCACCAACTCAACATTAGGCTCCCAGATTGTAGGGCTGGATCAGAACCATTACCCCAAGGTGCGGTTCTCTCCAGGAGAGGACCTTCTGCCAAATTGAAATTCCTCTGCTCCAGTCTCATGGTACCAAGGAGGATTTCTCAAGACGGTATCTTTGAGCTCTGTGATTTTATGAGCCACACCAAGGAACCTTCCACACTACACCTGAAGTAGATCCTCCCTTCAAACCTGCTAAAATTGGACAGGTCATCCATCTCTGGCATTCAACTGGAAGCTGTTGCAATGGGTTTCTTCAGATGCTGGCTCATGAGTTCCCTGGCACGAGACACTTGAATGTGTTCGTAGCATGAGTTACAGACGAGAACTGGGTCATAGAGTTGTTGATCAGGAATGGGCAGCTTCAGGTGGCAGCATCCAGCACAAAATACATTCCCACAATTTCTGCCAAAGTACAAATAAGAAAGAGTTTGTGAGAAATGCCAAATAACTGAGAATACATGAGTCAAAAGGCTCTCCATGAATAAATTTTTAAAAAGATTGGGGACAAACATAGTTCCTATGAAGATGCCTTAATTTTTAGATTAATTCAATTTAGTTCTATCCATATGTACCACACTACTTTATGAGTCACACAAAACATTTTACCTGCAGTGGTGTCTTCGTTTGGCCAACCAGAATTCACAGTCACAGTTGTAGCAGTGTGATGCCATATGGTCTGGAACCCAGCGAGTCATCTAACAGAAAGCACAAGGAAAAATTACAGGTCCTTGTCAACAAGGTGGAAAAGCAACACTGCAATAAGAAAAGCAGCCCAAGAAAAAAATGACAAGGTTGGGCTTTATGACTTGGCCACACTATTTGCTTATAAAGATGACATTCATCTGGGGGAGAGCATGCCATTCACCTCTGAGAAATATGATAAATTTTTTTGTCTCTCATAAATACCCACCACACATACCTCAGTTTCCTTCTTATCAACAGGTTCCCAGCTTGCTTCTGAGAGGCAGTCTTCACTGTGATCAGAGCTAAAATCCTCTGTATCACTGCCATCTGACTCTTTCAAACATGTCTGAAGAGAAGGCAAAGAGATCAACATTACCCTCATCACTGCTACCACTTATTGTTTACTGTATGCCAGGAACTGTTCTAAGTGCTTTACATGCACCAACTTATTTAATTCTTCAAAATACTCTTAGTAGCTGGGGAGTTAGCTCAATGGTTCTGCCACCTGCCTCACAAGAGCAAGGACCCAAGTTCAATCCCCAGTCCAAAAAAAAAAATCTAACAAAATACCCTTAGGATATATACTACTACCATCTCCATTTTACCAGTAAGAAAACTAAGCCACAGAGAAAGTGTAAAGCTGGAACTTAAACCTGGTATCCTGGCTTAAGAGCCATGCTCTTAACCAATATGCTATACCACAGCATAGAAAGACTACTGTTCTTGCCATTATCTTAAACTACACACTGGCAAACTATGGCCCACAGGCCAAATCCAGCCTGTTTTACTGTGCTATAAAGGCCACAATAAATAGTTATGACATAGACTATGGCCCACACAACTTAAAATATTTACTATCTGTCCTTTACAAAAAAAAAAAAAAAAGCTAGCTGAGTCCTGTTTAAAGCATCACCCTAAATCTCATGACGTTGTTAGCCTTGTCCATTCTGCCAGCAGGGAAGTAGGAATGCCTTTAACAGAAGAAAGGGAAGTGTGTGTATAGACAGCAAGACATTACGGGGGAGAAGATTGCTCCTAGACTCAAAGCTCCCCCAGGACTACAGTGCCAGAACTCAAGGTAGCCCAACACAGTAAAGCCTGGATGGTCATTATCATTTCTCACCTGAATTAGTCCAAAATGTCCTAACCAGCCTCCCAGGCTGTGTCTCAACTGCCTCATCAAAATTCTATCCTGTTGTTAAGAGTACATTTCTTAAAATACAAATCTGATTATTTTACTCACTGGTTTAAAATTTCATTGCTTTGAAGGTAAAATTCTAAGAAGGGTACTCAAGCTGACCTTTCCAATCACCACCTAATTCTTTCGTGTTACTTCCCATCACATGATGCAACTCTCCCTCATAGTCCCAGCCCACGTGTGTCTGTGCAGACACACATACATCCATTCCTTTGTTTAAATCATGCCAATGGAGTACCCACTGCCTCAGTGCTTCTGCAAATGGTGTTTTACTTTCCCTGTCTACCTAGCTAAATACCACATTCCTCAGCACTCAGCTCAAGCACTGTCTTCTCAAGAAAGCCTTCCTCGGCTTTTCAGTGTACTCCAGCCCCCTAACAACTGATGCTTCCCTCTATCATAATACCCAGAACATCATTCTAATTATTTACGTGTCTTTCATCCTAGAGCCTGAGCATCTAACTCAGTGTCACAAGTATCCAACAAATGGATAGAAGGCTGGATGGACAGAATACATGGATGGATGGATGGCAGTGGAGAATACTCACAAAATCATCCTCATAGTCCATGGGAGGCTCTGCTGGAGGGGCACAGCAGTGACGCATATCCAGCCTCATCTGAAGCTCACGCACCTGTCGACGTAGCTGATCTACCTCTTGCTTGTATCCTGCTTCAATTTGCCGCAATCTATGCTGGATTACATCCGTGGGAAAGGGGAGTCCATCATCATCCAAATAGAGAGGAGGCACTGGAGAAGGGCAGCTCAGTGGAACAGGCTTTGTGCTAGAGACTTGCTTTGGATGACCAGACAACCACATCCGGTTTTTTCCTCCTGGGCCAGTACAGTGTCCATTGGAATGATTAGAGCAGACAGGTGATTTCATACCTTCTCTCTGAGCCCAATGGCTTCCAAAGCAGGGCCCCGTGGCCCGCATCTGCTTACTGCTTGACCACTTGCTACAACAGCCATAGGAAAGCAGCCGCCTAGGGGTATTCTCCCCACTTGGGAATGAAGTTACCATCCCTTGAAAGCTGTCCCAGTTGGACCCGAGAAAAGAGAACTCACTGATCTGGCTCTGAGAAATTGGCTTTCGGGCTAATTCCAATGGCATTTTCCCAAAGCGAGAGTTTTCTAATAACTGCCCATTCCTATTATTTCCTTTCTTGCCAGTGTCTTCCTCTCTATGAATCAGATCCGGCACAGAACTGGGCTGTTCCTGGTGGGAGACACTTGCCATACACCCTGGGGGGTCTTGGCTGAGGAAACCAGCACTTGGTTCCACAGGAATTTGGCAGGCAGCACTCGGTGGACTGCAAAGGGTGCCCAGACTACAGTCCAGAGCACATTTGCGGGGTACACTCAGCATAGAGCCCAGCTGGACCTGCTGGGGGGCACCCACAAGGAAGTCCTGGGAAGACTCAGGGAGATCACCAATTCCATCACACTTGCTGGAGACAACTTTAGAGAGTGCACTGACAGCTTCTGTTTCTGGATGATGTCCAGGTGGCTCCCCTGAGCCACCAAAAGTCCTCCCCAGCCCATCCTGGGCAGAAGGGTCTGGAGCTAGTATCTTGGCCTGTCCCAGGACTTTGATTTCAGGATCAGAGGTGTTGTTTTTCATTTCCTGGGGCATAGCAGTATTGAGCAACTTATAACTTAGAGAACAGTTTTTGTGACTCTTGAAAGGCTTATTGCTCAAGTAGTCTTTCTGGCTGCTGGGCAGAGGGGAAGGGAGGCCCATTTCTCCCATAGTCTGCTGGGGACCTCCTACACCAGTGTCCATAAAGGCTATCTCTGAGCCCTCGGGATTGCTGTGCCAGGGCTCCAGCCCCACTCTGACCTCCTGACAGTGGTTATTCAGGTTAGGGTCACTGGATGTGCGAGTCAGGGGGCTGCTTGTATCACAGGCGGAGAGAAGATCATCCATGGATCTGGTTTTAGGTAACCTGGAATAATAAACACAATACCTCTAGGTCAGAAAATGGGAGCTACCTGAAATACACAGAATCAGGTCATGATTAGAGCAGCATCAAAAGCAGCATTTAGGTGGGTATGGTGGCACATGCCTGTAATCCCAGCTACTCAGGAGGCTGAGTCAGGAGGATTATGAGTTTGAAACCAGCCTGAACAACTTGGCGAGATCCTGTCTCAGAATTTAAACATTTTTAAAAAGAGCTGGGTATATAACTCAGTGTGAGAAAAACAAAACAAAACAGCATTTATATGACATAATGACATTTAAGATGACAACCAATGTTCACTAAATGTCTACTTTTCAAAAAGCATAAGACATGGACCAGGGATTTAGCTAAGTGATGCCACCCCTGCCTTGGAAGCACAAGGTCCCGAGTTCAATCTCCAGTACCAAAAAAAAAAAAAAGTGTAAGACATGGGACTGGTGATTTAGCTCAGTGGTGCTGCCGCCTGCCTTGAAAGCACATGGTCCAGAGCTCAATCCCCGATACGAAAAAAAAAAAGAAAAAAAAGAAAAGCATAAGACATGGACCTCTCCCTCAAGAAAGTCCCGGACTAACCCCAATACCAAAAAAAAAAAAAAGTGTAAGACATGGGACTGGTGATTTAGCTCAGTGGTGCTGCCGCCTGCCTTGAAAGCACATGGTCCAGAGCTCAATCCCCGATACGAAAAAAAAAAAGAAAAAAAAGAAAAGCATAAGACATGGACCTCATCCTCAAGAACTCAGGATCTGTGCTCAGCTTTTGTCAGTCCTCAACCTACACAATTCTAAATCCATTATTCCAGCTAGGTCTGTACCTGAGCCTCAAACCTAGTAGCCTAGTGTCTCTAGCACAGTAAGCCAGAAAGGTTACAGGTTTTGTTTTGTTTTGTTTTTAGTACTGGGGATTGAACTTGGGTCCTTGTGCTTACATGGCAGGTGGCGGCACCACTGAGCTAAATCCCTGGCCAGGTTACAGGTTTTGGAGCAAGACAACACTAGCTCTGACAGTTACCTACATGTCTTCAAGAAAGTGGTTTCCTCCTTGCAGAGGTGCTGTAAATATTCAAAATATATACAACCAATCACAAACTCATTAGCCACAAACTTACTAAGACAACACAACTCCTCAGCAAAGGTTTTTATAACCACTTAGCAACAGAGTGTCCCTCTGACTGGGAAACTTCTGCAAGTAGACAGCACTCAGAGAGTTCTAGAGACATTCATACACACCAGATGGGTAACAGACATTTTCAAGATGTGTGTGTGTGTGTGTGTGTGTGTGTGTGTGTGTATAGATATGTATATGTATATATGTGTGTATATATATATGTATATATATGTGTGTGTGCGTGTGTGTGTATATATGTTATATATAAATATAAATAAATATTTATAAATTTGAACCCAGGGTCTTTCAACTTAGCTAGCCCTTTTTATATTTTATTTTGAGATAGGGTCTCACTAAATTGCCCATGTGGGACTCAAACTCATGAACCTCTTGTCTCAGCCTCCCAAAGTACTGGGATTACAGGAACACGCCACTATACCTCGCTCTATCCTAATCTCCAACACAGTTTACAGTCCTTAGAGCAATAAAAAGTTAGGAAAATTCACCAGGAAACAAGAGAGATTTCACTGACAGTCATCTCAGATGATTCAGTTCAACCCATACTGAAAAATCCCATAAAGGCAGAGTTTAAGTACTTGATTTTTTATTTTTGATATTTTTTATAATAAATGTCCTACATAAATTTTTATATTTGATTTTTACTTTTGTGTTTGATTTTGAGGGGAAGGGTTTTTTTTGTTGTTTTTGTTTTGTTTTTTGGTATTGGGGATTGAACTTGGGACCTTGAGCTTTCGAGGCACGCAGCAGAATCACTGAGCTAAATCCCCAGCAAGGGTTATTTTTTTGAGACAAGGCCTTACTTGTTCAGTCTGGCCTTGAACTCACTATGTAGCCCAGGCTGGCCTGGAACTCGAGGTGATTCTCCTGCCTCTGCCTCCTGAATGCTAGGATTACAGGGATGTACTACTTTGCTCAATAATGATTTTATTCTTAATGGCAGAAAATTCCAGGAAAGCAGTGGTTCTGGTTATAGTCTCTAGAGTCTCATAGGCACAACTCAAATCCCAGGTTGGCAATTTTTTAGCTACGTGACTTTAATTTTTCTAAGCCTTAGTACCCTCATTTGTGGAAGGTTAAAGTAGCTACCACATAAAGCCATTGCAAGGATTAAATAAAATCATTCACATCAAAGCACATTACTTGGTGCTTCCTACAACACATTATTGCTCTTAGTTTTTATTTAAGTACCTTGAGGGCAGAACTATGTTATCTGAATCCCTAGCATTTAATACAGAACCAGCAAAATAATTTGAGAAATGAATGAATGAGCTTAAAATCTAACACCAAGTTTCCACTGGTAGGCACCAACTAAATGGAAAAGAACAGCCGGCTTCAATACTGGTGAACTTCAGGAGCTTCCATGACCCACTCAAGACCTAACAAATAAGAATAGCCAAGAATGAAGACTAAGCCGCTTGTTTTGTGGTTGTTGTTTGCTTTGTCTGATTTGGTTTGGTTTAGTTTGGTTTTGCAGTGCTGGAGGTTAAACTCAGGGCCTCCCACATGTGAGGCAAGTGCTCTACCCGAGCTACATCCCCAGCTCAGGGGTTTTTTTGTTTTGTTTTGTTTTTAAGTACTACAATTGACTTTTTCTTTCTTTTCTTGTTTTTCTTTTTTTATTATGGAAACTTTCAAACATATGAAAGAAAGTAAAAGTAGCTCCCACATACTCTTTACTCAGATCATATTGCAACAGCCTGCCATCCTCCACAGCTGATTCCTGTGTGCACTAATGCCGGTATACACATGAATGTAGATACACACATGAATGCTAGCGCAGACAATAATGGCTGAAGAGAGCTCATCCAGCTTGGATGGTAAAAGAAGGCCAGAAAGAAGGGATAGAATTTGAGGTAGGTATAGAAAAATGTGCTGGAGGGGCCGGGGATTTAGCTCAGTGGGGTTCCACTGCCTGCATTGCAAGCACAAGGTCCCGAGTTTAATCCCCAGTACCAAAAAAAGAAAAAAAGAAAAAGAAAATTGTGCTGTACTTTAACAGAAGAGGAGGAAAGAGAGCAGAACAATTTGATCCAGGTAAAAGAACCAAAAGTCAGGTTGGTTGTTACAGAGGCTACTTCCTTTAAAATTTTTATACCACTCATTCCTCTCAATCTAACTCTCCGTCTTGAGTTACATATAATATACCTCCCCTGTGCTATCAACTATCTCTCAATACCAACCTCCCTGCATTTCCTTTTTCTCCCCAAATTGGCTGTCTTGGTTCTAAGCTCAGATACTGAAATGTGTATTTGACATCAAAGAGACTTTTGGATCCTTCTCATTCTGCACTTCTACCTTCCAACTGTCAACCAATTCCATAGTTTGCCTATGATTTCTCTGCTGCATTTCAGAATATAATCTTTTCTCTTTTCAAGGGATTCATCTCCTGAGATCTGAACTACTGCAACAGGGTAAGCTGGTCTCTGTGCCTTTAACTACTACGCTCACTGATGAGTTCTCTAAAAATCCCACTGTCTATAGGACACAATGACTTCCTACACTAACTTACAACTGACAACTCGACCAAAACAAACTCTTTACCACACGTTTAAAGCCCTTAACAGTCTGTCCTATACAATATTTCTTTCTATGCCTCAAAAGAGTCTTCTCAAATCCTGCTGGCTCCAGGGAGGTTCTTTTTTCTTTAAAACATTCCTCAACTACTCAGTTCCTTTGGATCGCTCAACCAACCGTGCTACCAAGTTCACAACTTTCTTTATCCTATGCATTTGTTTTCCACTTAAAAATTCAGTAAAGCCTCTACGATATACTAGATAGACCCTGGGCTACACTCCAGGACACAGAAAAGCCTGACCCTTCATGAAAATTTCCTGCCTGACCCTTCATGAAAATTTGCTAAGTAAAATAGCCAAATGACCCATTTAAAAAATGCTGCTGCAGTAGCAGCAGGGATATCACAAGTTTGAGGCCAGTCTGAGGAACTTAGTATGCCCTTGTCTCAAAATTTTTAAACAGGGATGGGATTTTAGTTCAGTGATAGAGTGTTTGCCTAATATAATATACCTGAAACTTGGTTAAATCTCCAGTCCCACACAGAACAACAAAAACAAAAAAACTTATTTGTCAACAGCTTTGAATTACACATATTCTTATTTACTTAGATGCTGACTTAGAATTGTTCTGTAGTTGTTCTGTGTCTTATAGTTTTTTAAAAAACACTATTTAAATTAGGATCAGTATCTTTGATTCTTTGGTATAGCCCACAAAACCAAGTTCAGTACTAAGCAACTTATAGGTATTAAAATAAACTTACTGAATTAATGTTAGGTTCTATTTAAGGCAAAGATTACCAAGTGGCTTAGAGCTTATTAAGAATTTGGTAAAAAATTATGGCTTTTTTCCCTGGAAAAGTAGCCTTATGAACCTACACTCAAATTCTTCATACTTTTTGGAAAGTGAAAATCATAGAATTCCTGAAGCCTAGTCCCTGACAATGGATGTGTGGATGTGGCTCTAGAGACCCTAGAACCAAAAATTTATGATGTGGATTTTTGTGGTCCTTTATAGTACTCAACGAATATGTTATATTTTATCTTTTTAAAACCAGCAACAAATACCAAAAAATTATATATATATATATATCCTTTGAACAAAACATTTTTGTTTTTAGGAATTTATCTGGCAGAAACACTAGCACAAATGCAAACACATATATGCTTGGATATATATCTATATGTATGTGTCGGGGGAGACTCTATTGAGTCATATTTTCTTTGGGAGGGGGGTAGTACTGGGGATTAAACACAGGGCTTTACATGCTAAGTTCATGCTCTACTACTGAGTTATATCCATAGCTGAACTCCACATCTAAAATTGGTTTAGGTCAGTGGTGACGCACCTATGGCATGCACGCCACTGTAGGCTGTTTGCTATCATTGAAAGCTCTGAAAGGTTCACTACTATGGCCAGCTAGATATTTTTTAAATGGGTCATTTGGCTGTTTTACTTAGCAAATTTTCATGAAGGGTCGGGCAGGAACCATGGCTTTTTTGTGTCCTGGAGTATAGCCCAGGGCCTAGTATATATAAGTGTATCATATATTAGCATGATATATATATATTAGTATATCATATATTAAAAACTCTGAGTTTTTAAGTAGAAAACAAATGCAAAGGATAAAGGAAGTTCTGAACTTGGTAACAAGGTTAGCTGAGAGTGGTCCAAAGAAACTTGTTTAGCTGGTAAATATTATGTATATTTTACCATAGTTTTTGGATCCAAAGAAACTTGTTTAGCTGGTAAATATTATGTATATTTTACCATAGTTTTTGTTTTTTTTAGTACTGGGGATTAAGCCTAGCACTAAGCTACACTGCAGCCATTTTTCATTTTTAATTTGAGGCAGGGTCTCACTTTAGTTGCTAAATTGCCTAGGCTAAGCTTGAACTTGAGATCCTCCTACCTCAGTGTGCCAGAGTGCTGAGATTACAGGTGTGTGATAGCATACCAAACTTACCATGATTTTTTTAGATAGATAGACAGACAGACATTCCATAAAGCATTCCCTGTAATATTTTTTTTAAATGAAGTTACCTCACTGACTAAATCAGTTCTTTTTTGGACTATTATGCAGCTGCTAAAAACAACAAAGTAGGACTAAGAATGTAGCTCAATGGTAGAGTGCTTGCCTAGCATGCACAAGGCCCTGGATTCGATCCTCAGGAAAACAAAACAATATAAATAAATAATAAAAACAATAAAGTGGATTTATATATGTTGTCATGGGATGTCAGCCCAATACAAAGTGAGAAAACGATTTGCAAAACAGTATGCAAAAACATACAACTTTTGTTTTAAAAAATAAATGTGTTGTAGAGGCAGAAAAATGTGTGCTGCACATTTTACCTTGAGAGCTGAGACGGGCTTACATCTGGGGGCTTTCAGACATGAGTGTAGATATATTTACATAGAGAAAACCTAAGGACACCCATCAAAATGTTAACAGCAGACACTGTGGGGACAAGGATCGGGAGAAAGAACTTTTATTTTTCTACATTTACATTATTTTATTTAACTTTTGTTTGTTTATGCTATTAGGAATAGTGTTTTTAGGGAGCACTGAGCTACATCTCCAGCCCTTTTATTTTTTGAGACAAGGGTCTTGCTAAATTGCCCAGGCCAGCCTTGAAATTGCAGTCTTCCTCTCTTAGCCTTCTAAGTAGCTGGGATTACAAGTGTGTGCCACAACCACGCCTGGATTGACCTTTTTTTTTTAAAAAACAGGAAACATGGATTACTCTTATAATTTATACAGTCCCCATTTCTCTTCTCCTCAAATATCCAGCCACAAAATAACTTTCATTTTACATCTTGCTTTAAATTCCAGCCTTTTTCTGAAGAAGTAAAGGCCATACCCCTGCTGGGGACCCACTTCCCCAAGTGTCAGATGCTTTCGGAAGCTAATGTTGAACACAGCAAAGGTTGCTACAAAGATAGCAAGCTCCCCATGCCTTGTATCAATGAACAAACAATCAACACCATTCCCACAAACCTTCATGAAATAGTCCTTTCTTTTTCATTCTCCTCTCCCCTGCTTGGATCTGTCACATGGGGTGATAGCAGCTCCGGGAAAGAAGGTAACCAACCTTATCTTTAGAGAGGACCTTGAAAACACAGAGTGCACCCCGGCTAGCCACGAGTCTCAGGCCAAGTTTCTCCCTTAACTGACTGAAGAAGTTGCTTTTAAATAGCTCATGAAAAAAGGAGAACAATATTTAGGCAAAACAGGAAGCAGTTACTGCTTTCTTAGTAAAGACAGGAGAGAGTAAGAAAGGCTTTTCTTACCTGTCCAGAGAGCGACCAGAGAACTCCTGGCTCTGGGCCACTGGGGAAAGGTAAAGATCCATATTTTCCTCTCCAAGTGTGCATGGAGATGATGCAGGCAGATAAACAGCTGTCCAGAGGTGCAGGGCTCGGACATGACAGACAGGATGCAGGACCTAGGGAAGAGGCCCAACACTGGTGTTTTGGAGGCTGTTCCCCTTTTCCTTCCCTCAATCTTTGGCTTTTATTCTCCCCACCAACTCAGTCTCTTCTACCTGCAGGATAGGGCTTGGCCTTACCATGTCTGAGCCTGGCATGTAGAGGAAGTTGTGAAAGTTCTTATTGCCTGCCCGCAGGAGTGCCCATACAGAGCATGTTCGCTTGTAGATGTTGCGCTTCTCTCGCTCACAAGGGTTGTTGGCCAGGAACGTGCCATAGAGGCAGGAGTATGTGTGCTGCACCAGTTTTACCTAAAGAGCCAAGACAGCTTGTACTTAGGGGCCTCACAACACCACTCCTCCCACCCTAGTCACAGGCTTTAGGACTTACCAGGAATGCTTCATTAAATTCAAACAAGCAGGGAAACTGCTTAAGCAACTGATGAACAGAATCAAGCCACTGGAGGAACACAGGGCATTGCTCATTTTGGTCTTCTGCATTCTCTTGGTGGCCACAGCGATCTCCGAACTTGTGCCCAAAATCCAGCCAGTCAGACTCCACTAACACTTGGAAGCCCTGCAAAAAGTTAACAATCAAACACAGGGCCTCTTTGGAAGGGCAAGTCCCCAGGGGACTGTTCCAAGAGCTGCCAGCTCCAAAGAACAAGCCTGAGGACCAGGGATTTAGCTCAGTGGTTCTGCTGCCTGCCTCGCAAGCACAAGGTCCCGAGTTCAATCCCCAGTACCAAAAAAAAAGAACAAACCTGAACCTGGAAGAGGATTGAAAAGTTCCCAAGATAGCTCCATAACATCCATCACCATCCCTCCACTGCCATTCCCCCATTCTTTCCTACCCAAGCCCTTCTCAGTACCTCCAATGTCCTGTAATACGGGTCCAGTAGTATTTTGGCCAGGGCTACAATCTGCGGTGTGCGGTCCCAGCCATCGGAGCAGTGCACCAGCACAGGCCTGCCTTCACGGTCTACTGTATTAGCTACCAGCACAGCTGCTTTTAGCATCACTGACAAGTGTTGCAGCCATTTGGTACTCTCCAGCGCTGACAACCAACTATACAAGAGCAGAAATCAAGCCTATCACTAAGGATACTGGGGCCACAATAATCTCTCTACCATACCCAGTCAGCTCCACCCAACAAAGTCCCCAGTGAGGGCTGAAACCAAGAGATCCAACTCATGGCCTTTTTGCCAAGACATATCTAGCAGGAAGGCAGGGAAGACAGGCTCTGAGTCAGAGAAGAGCTTCTTAAGTCCAGAGAGAAACTAGGAAGCATCCCAGGACAGTGACTGTGAAAGTGCAGGACAATGACATAAAAAGAATCCAGTGTCCTGTGACTGTGCCAAAGTGTTGGCTGAGAAGTGGAAGAGTGTTTTTGGAACTGGTCCACTGTCACCAACTCCACCCAAGCCCTGAGGTCTCCTGCACCTTCGGATGTCCCATCTGCTCATCAAATCCTCCAAGAATAAGGAGTACTGGGTAAGGAATGAGACTGGAGGAATAATGGAATCACATCAGGGAACACCTACTTGCTGGGATCCGGCATCTGGCTGCAAACGGCCCGAAGGTACTGGAAACTGTTCCGGATGGCATGGATGTTGGCCATTCCCATAAAGACAACCTCACAGTTGGGATAGTACTCTGTAGGCATGAGAGGAGAGTGGAGCATAAAAGGATGTCCTAGTAGTAGGCATCCAGGGCAAAGCTGCTCCAGAAGAAAAGGCACTCTGGGATGGGAACTAAACAGATTCTTGAAATCTGAATTGCATTTTATTTCTGGATACTCTGGTGCTATATAGTAGTAGTAATTGTATTAATAACAAATAGTAGAAAAAAAAAGAATAAATGGTAGTAGTATATCTACTAAGAATAAAAATATATAGAAAATTCTCAACAAATAGTACCTACTCTGTGCCTGAATTTTATATATGCAACCTCTAATCATGCACCCCAGATTTGCAAGGTATGTATCATCTCCATTTTACAAATTGGAAAATGAAACTTAAGAGAGGTGAAGAAACTTAAGCATAATCATAGCTTTTAAGTGGCAGAGTCCTGGTCCCAAGCAGCTTTGTTTGCGTCTTTCAAGTACATAAGCTGCCTTCAACCTGCTCTTGCCCAAAGCCACACCAAACAGGGTTCTGCAGACATTGAGGTAACAGCAGTACCTTCACACTCGCAACCTCCACCCTTGGCCCGGTTAGCCACGGCTGCCGTGTAGGATCTCGCATCCAGGATCAGCAGCTTTTGAGGGGCCGCTGCACTCTCTACCCCAGAGCATGCAGTCAGAGAGGAATCTAAATACACAGTGGAGAGAAGACCTAGGGTCAGTCAGCTGCCCAATTACACCATGGTTCTGGGACACCCATCTCAGATGAGACCCATGTGCAAGTAGAGACCTGTCAGACCTCACAGCGTCCCCAAAGGCAGGGACCCAGGAGCCTGGTGTGTTGTCATTTTCTTCCCATCCTCTCACTGGGGACTCCTTGGGAGCCACTGGGCCAAAGGAAAGGCCTGCTGCCTGGGAGGCTAACACCATGAACACCTTACCGAAGTCAGTGTCACATGCTTCATTTGCATCATTTCCACTGCTGAGGGAGCCTCCAGTGGCTCGTGTCCCAGGGTCCAGGGCGCAGGCTTTAGCAATGGACGTGACCAGGTACTCATCATCAGCATTGCGCCAGCCCCACCAGCTGATCTCAGGCTGGCTGCAGCGGGCAATGGCAGCCCCATTGCGCAGGTGTCTGATAAACAGAAGAAACCATAATGCCCTTGGCATTCAAAGCCTCTAGAGCCTATCATGGAGACCTTAGGGGCCCAGACCAAGGTCTCTCAAGTCAGCAGGGGGTATCAACTCATTCAGGCCATAATAGCAACCAAAAGCCTTAACATCTCTAGAGAGGTTTCATTTACAAAGCGCTATCACACACATTTTCTCAAATGGGCTTGGTATTCCCAAAGTGCCCATGACTCATCAAATCTACATAGCACCTGCTCCAGGTACAGGCACACAGCAGGAGAACAGGCTGGATCCAGGAACACAAACAAATCCAAACCTCATGGTTGCTATCTGTCTCACTCTATTTTAACTGCACTGTTTCTGTTCAGGGGTCAGTAAAGAATTACACAAGTTCTTGGTTTTGTAGGTCACAAGCAGTCCTGTCATGTTATGGGGATGAACTCAGATCCTTGCACTTGCAAGGCAGGCAGTGGCACCATTGAGCTAAATCCCCTGCCCATGTATTCTTTTTTATAGTCTTTTAAAAAATATATAACTCTTTAAATGTGTAAAAACCATTCATAGCTCATAAGCTATACACAAAACAGGCTGTAGGCTGGAACTGATCTCCAGGCCAGTGTGCCAACCCCTGTCTTAATGCAACATTTTACATGTACACACTTATGTTCTCTCTCTCCAAAAAAAAAAAGAGAGTAAACTCCTCAAAAGCCTATCCTTAGGACAAAAAAAGCCATTTTTATTTAAAAATAATTCATAGTCATTTTCCTATAGGTATCAATTCTCATTCAACCAGGCTGCCAAAAACCTTAGATCATGACTCTCCTTATTACATAAAAACAGCCTCCCTACTTCACATCTGTCACTGCCTCACCTATACACGACCACAGGGATGCGCTTCCAGGAACGGAAGGAAGCCACGTTCTCCAGCTCTTTATCTGTGATCCAAACGGGAACCAGCAGCTTCTGAGGGTAACTGGGGCACAACCTGAGAACAGACCAGAGGGAGGGTCACCAAACTGGGTCTAAGATATGTGATAAGACCCAGGGTGACTTTGTGGGAAGAGGAACAGGAACCCTCCTGCCCCATGAACCCAGGAGCGATGCCCATCTTGATTTACCCAAACGTAGAGGGGGGTTGGTCTGGATGAATACTTGGCTCCCCCACCCTGCCCTCTCACTTGTAGTTGCTATTGATATGTGAGACTCTCCAGACGTTCTGCAGATCAAAGCCCATCCTCAAGAGCTCTGCCTCCTGCCGACATCGTATATGCTCTCCTGCAACACAGCCCGGCCAGCCAGTCAGCGTCCCTGGGCACCAATATCCAGAGGTGGAGGAGGAAATGAGAACTGAGGGGAAAGCAGTAGCTCCCAAAGAAGACAGCCTGGCCTTACCTGGCTGACACAGATGGGTGTGCTGGTCCTCCTCAGTCAGCCCCAGGCACCAGGCATGGTAGGCAAAGGCAAAGAGGTCCTCAGGCTTGGCAGGTCTCGCTGTGGCCCGGCTTAGCCTCAAGAGCCACTCTTGGCACTGCTTGAAAGTGGAGAAGTGGCACCTGCAGGGAAGGAAGCCACAGGCCTGGGTGAGGCAAGGGTGGGACGTACCATGGGGACATATGGGTAAAAAACCACATGGCCAGAGGAAGGCTGTAGGAGAGGAGGCTACAAGCAGAAGGTAAGACAGTAGGGGGACAGGGAGGGCAGGGGTGAAACAGGGATACCGTACACCACCCAAGAGAAGTTGTCTCCCATGACTATTCTGTTCCCAAGAACTTCTGTTTCTGAGACATAGTTATCACGCTTGATGGGACCCACCATTTCTCATATCAAATCTAACTGCTACCACATGGCCCTGCATGCGCTCCTTGTTCCTACCCTACCAGCCAGTATGGTGTCCTGTGACTCCCAACACAAACCCTCTACATTAGGTGGGAAGTTCTGCACACACCAGTCTTGTCTTCATGTTTTTTCTCTTTTGCTTGATAATGCCTCCTCTTTGCCTAGCCATATCCTACTGACACTTAGAAGACAGTTTCAGTCCCACCTCCACCTTGAAGCCTTCCCAACCTACGTCCTTCCACAAACTCTTTCCTTTCTTAAATTGTTTTTTAGTTTGTTTGTTTTTTGAGACAGGGTCTCACTAAAATGTAGTTCAGGCCACCTCTGAACTCACTATATAGCCCAGGGTGATCTCGGACTCATGTCAATCCTCATCCTCAACCTGCCGTGTGCTAGGCTTACAGGCATGCACCAGCCCTCTCTTAATTCTTAATGTACCTGTTATATTAAACAATCCATTTCTCTATGGCATACTGCCACATTAAGTCTTCTTTCAGCAACCTGGTGTTAGCCTCTGTGAGGCTAAGGGCAATGTGTTTTCCTTCTAAATCCACCACAGACTTGAGTGCATGGCCAGTTCTAAAGCAAACATCCTTCTAATACTCGTTAGAGTCATTCCAGTTTCCTCTTTCTTTCATACACAATCTGTCAGCAAATCCTGCCACCTCAACCTTCAAAATACACCCAGAAAATGAGCACTTCTCTGACCGCACTACCCTAGGCAGGCCAACACCACTTCTCACACGGGTACCTGCAACAGCTTCCTAACCAATCTCCCAGCTTCTGTCCTTGCTCTCTGCCATCTAGTTTCACTGTAATGGCTAGTGGAAGTCTAAAGCATTGACCAGATCACGTCAAGGAGTTTCTTAATTTCCTCAAAGTAAATTCCAACCATTGTGACAGCTTCCTTTGCTCCCAGACCTTGAATCCCCCTATCCTCACCCACATTCACTCCTCTCTGGCCACACTAGCCTCCTGCCATTCTTCCAAGGTAGTTACCCACTCAGAGACTTCACACTCAATCTTCCCCCTCCGGGCACTCTTCCTTCAAACATCCACGTGGTCCCTTTCTTAGGTCTTGGATCAAATGTCACCTTTTCTGTGCAGCTCTCTGATCGCTTATTTAAAACTACAAGCTTCATGGCGATAGCACTCCACATCCCCTTCCCCTGCCTTATTTTTTTTCCTTTACCCTGTCATTTAACATAATTCACTTATTATTTATTTATTCCCATTGGAATAGAAGCTCAATGAGGGTGGAAATTTTTGTCTATTTATTCTCTCTGCTGTATCTCTGGTCCCTAAAAGTCTTGCATACAGTACTCAATAAATGTATCCTAAATTTATAAATAAATGAACCAGTAATAATGTGAGTGCTCTGTGCCAGATATTGTCCTATGTGCTTCTACACACATCATCTCATTTAATCCCCTCAGTGACCCCAGGAATTAAGCATTCCCCTATTTTTTTCAGGTTAAAACACTTTGGGTCAGTAAATAGACATGCCAAACCAGATAGAATTTTCACCTATTCCTTCAGTAGAAATCTTTGGTCTCTTGCACAAGACTAGGGTCATCGGACCTGACTGGGGGCCCCATTATGCTCACCTCACCACTTTGGAGTCCTTGCAGGCAATGTGCAACTGGAACATATCACGGCTCTCCACACTGTCAATCATCCGGAGGGGGACCTTGAGAGAAAGGGCAAACTCACACTCAAATCACCCACTCTTGGCACCACTCCTTGTCCCCACCCCAGCCCAGGTGCTGATTACAATGGAAGGGAGGAAAACAGCAGTTACCAAGGACCTGTTAAATGCCCAGTAAACTATGCTAGCAGGTCTTTTACATATGTGACCCCAGTTAATAATCCATCATCCTACATTATAAAGAGAAAACCAAGGCTGAGTTTAGAGACTTCTCCAAGGTCACAAAGCTGGTCAAGTGGCAGTGTAGGGAAAGAACCCAAGTTTGTCTGACTCCCAACATTGCCACTGTGCCCCAAAAAGAGCCAGCAACAGGGTAAAGGAAAGAAAGGAGGGAAAAGGAGGATGAGCCAGAGAGAAGGATAGACCCACAGGAGAATGAGGCAGGAAAACAAGAAGCTACTGAGAAAGAGAAGGAAACTCCATCTTTTCTTTGGGACATGATCAGGTAAAGCATTAGAATACTAACACCTTGAACATCATTGGGATTCTGGCTCGGGTGTAGGGAAACAAGACAGGAACTCACGTTGATCACAGAGTCCTTGAACTTGATATGCAGCCGGTAGTTGGAGATAGCAATGAGGGCATCTGCTGCCCGGCCCAGGAACTCCACTCCTTCACCCTGCAGGACTGTGAAGGGTACCTGCCAAGGGACAGAGGAGCCCTCATCCAGAACCGAGTCACCCCTCATTCTCCTCTGCAGCCCCTTATACTGGGGGCTTACCTATGGAAAAGCTGGACTCTGACAGGAAAGGAGAGTCCTTTCCTAGTCAGGTCACCAGGTCACACCTATAAAGGAAAACTATCCTTCCTTCCCTGGGACCAATGGTTTCATAACCCACATACAGACAGACTCACCCACCCCTTCCAGAGACCAAGGAGAAGGAAGCCAGAGCTGTGGACATATTGTATATCCTCTTGGAGATTGGAGGGGGGGCATTTTTTAACTGAGAATGAGCCCCACCCACCCTGGGCCCAATTCCTACTTACCTGAAGATTTTCCTCCTCCTTCACTAGTTCTTTAGGGGGGAAGAGATCCTTGGCTTGGATATACTCCAGGCTGGGGGGCCCTTCCTCACCCTGCCAGAAAGTCATAGTCCTGAGTCATTGGGTTGCACTTGGCCCCTCATGGTTATTTGTTCCCCTCCCCCACCAGTAAATCTAGATGAACACCCCCTCTCTCTCTCACACACACACACACACACACACACACACACACACACACACGCCCACACTTCTAAAGCTTCTTTCCCACCAGAGGAAGGAAAGGAAACCTGGCTTGGTTGGAAGTGGGGAAAGGTGAAATACAGCCTAAAGGAAATGGAGCCTAAGGGAATCAGTAAGCCAAGGAGGAACTGGGACTCTGCACTGATCAAAGAAGAACTCTCCTGTAGAAACAAAATTTCAAGTGGAGGAAGGCAGAAAACTAAGGAAAAAACTAATGAAAGGGTAAGGCAGGGGTGGGAATGGGAAAGGGTTGTCCTGAGGAAAAGGAGCTAGGTGTGGCAGCTGACTACACAGAGAGGAGAGAAAATCAGGTACCTCCAGCCACCGAAGATTCAAGCTGGTGGGTGAAGGAGACAAAGAGGAGTAGGCTGGGGGGATTCTGTCCTGTGCCTCTAGAGGGCCTTCGTGGATGCTTTCAAAAGGAGGATGCCTTTGGAGCTGAGCTTATCTTCCTGTTAAGCCCCCACAACCTGCCAAGCAACCTGCCCTGCCTGATCTAAGGGGAATTCCTGAGGAATACCCACAGAAAACAGAAGTCGCTTCTCTCCCAACCACCAAGGAGGGTGAAAGAGGGGATCCACACAACTAGGAGGAAGCAGGAGACCCAAGGACAGTCAGGGGAGAGAGAGGAGGCCTGGCAGACACCCACGGCGGGGGGGGGGGGGTGTGG